GTCTCGAGCTCCGCATCCCAAATCTCCGGACAAGGAACAAATCTTCTCTATAATACGAGCATTTGATTCACTGTTTCTCTTGAATGAACGACCACTTTTTCCACATTTGACCTGAATAGTATCAAACAAACCATTTAAAGAAGCAAACAAGCAAGTAAAAGATGTAATAAACAAATAATCAAGTAAGAAAACAGGCAAARAAGGGCAAAGATAAATTTAGGAGTGGCCAAGTCTCCGCGACCCTTGGGTAAAAATCGATGACAAAATTCAGGGAAAGGATCGCGGATCAAAATTGTCGTAAWTTTTTTTAAATAGGGGATCACTATACCTTGTTACTTAAACGSTGTCAGCCTCTAACTAAGAAAAATAAATATAGAAGAAAGGGAAAATTTCAACCTCAGGACCCAGTTTATAAACAAACTAATTTTTTTAAATATGGCTGTAGAGCACGAAAGATCTCAATAACTCTATAAACTACCTTACGTTTTAGTTTTGTAATCAACTGTGTAATGTATCAATGATTAAAWAGGTCAATAGACGAAASATGTTTCATTGAAAGTCTTGGTTTTAGTGTGTCAAAAGAGATRGTTTAAAACAAGTTCACGTGTAACAGGTGCCCGCCATGAAGTCTTCATGATTAAAACCGCCATTTTGTTGTTTACACATACGCATGCGCAGTGCGTTTTCCACCAGTGTCTAGAAGGTCACTCACGTATAACATACGGAAGAGCTCTCATTTTACCAAAAAATATTCAAACACTTAAGGCTTAAACTGAAAATTGTTAATGGCGAGTATGAATTCGAACATGCTCCCTTTTGGTCTCAGCTTTGATGATGTAAGCAATTGGACCCCGACAAAGTTTTTTCAATTATGTGTATACACAATTAATGAGGTTTCACACCAGCAAGAAATCCAAAACATTGAATTCTTATTTATTTTTACAAATACCTTTTTTCCCTTGCGTCTCAACATTCCTGTTATTGCTGTCTCTGTATTTGGCGGCAAGCTGATAAGAACGATGGTTAAAATAAGCATTCCCAAAAAAGTAAGTTTGAAATTCATGCTTGCGCAAGTAGGAATCACCGTGGC